ACGACAGAAATCAAATTCCCGAAGGGGGACCCTATGGACTTAAAAACCCAAGGGAGGCTACCAGAATCAAGAATAGAAAAAGCATCCATAGGAGAGGAAAAAAGATTAACAGAAATACCAGAGGAATATAGAGACCTTGCTGAAGTTTTCAGTGAGGAGAGGGCGAATGAGCTTCCCCCCCACCGACCACAGATGTACCATTGAATTCAAGCCTGGGGCAAAACTCCCGAAGCCCAGATTATACTCCATGAGCCCAAAGGAGAAGGAGGAAATGGAAAGATTTTTATAAAAAAAAACCTAGAGAGAGGTTTCATTGAGCCAGCCAAGCCTAAAGTGGCTGCCCCGGTCCTTTTTAGAGAGAAGAAGGATGGCTCCTTACGTTTATGCGTGGATTATAGGGCCCTGAATACAATCAGTGAAAGCAACCTATACCCGCTGCCCCTCATGAAAGACATGCTGTCACACCTATCGAAAGGAAAATTTTTTTCTAAACTAGACCTAAGGGAAGCTTACTATCGCGTGAGAATTAAGGAAGGGGACGAATGGAAGACTGCATTTAACTGCCCCATGGGGTGCTATCAATTCAAAGTCTTGCCATTTGGATTACAAGGGGGCCCTGCAGTCTTTATGCAATTAATCAATGACGTTCTAAGGGAGCACCTGTTTAAGGGGGTCCTTGTTTACTTGGACGACATTCTTATCTTTACTGAAACAAAAGAAGAACACGTCAAACTTGTCAGAGCGGTTTTAAAGAAGCTGCGAGCCGCTCACCTATATGCCAAACTCTCAAAATGCGAATTCCACCAGGAAAGGATAGACTACCTAGGCTATCGCATATCCCCACAGGGCATTGAAATGGACCCAGAGAAGGTCAAAGCAGTATTAGATTGGCGCCACCCCGCACAAGAAAGCAACTACAAAGTTTCCTCCTGGGCTTTGCAAACTTTTACCGCCAATTCATCCCCTCATTTGCCCAGATAGCCTTGCCCCTCACTAACTTACTAAAAATGAAGGGAGCATCCTCAGTAAAACCTAGCCAGCCACTAACATGGACAATGGAGTGCCAAGCAGCGTTTGAGAGACTAAAGAGACTTTTTTCTGCCGAACCAATACTAAGGCACCCAGACATGGACAAGCCCTTCGTAATACAGGCAGATGCAAGTGATGTGGCAGTGGGGGCTGTGCTATTACAAGAAAATAATGATGCAGTATTGCAACCCTGTGCATATACATCCAAGAAACTCACGGAAACAGAACAGCGCTGGCCCGTATGGGAGAAGGAGGCTTATGGGATACGTTGGGCATTACTCACGTGGCGACAGTTCCTGGAAGGCAACAAAATCCCCTTCCAGGTGTGGACCGATCACAAAAATTTAGAAGCCCTGAAAACGTCCAGGAAACTCAATCCCAAACAAGCCCGCTGGTCTCAGCATTTTCATCAGTTCCAGTTTAAACTCAAACATTTACCAGGGAGAAAGAACTTCCTGGCAGATGCTCTATCTCGCATGCCTCAATATAACAGCGCACGAACCACAGACTCTAGACCAATAATGGCAGAGTCACAACTGGCAGCACCAGTAACCACAAGAACCCAAGCCAAATTAAAACCACAACTGGACAGCCAAACTGGAATTGAATTCAGAAAAAGTTTGGAAACAGATGAATGGTTCCAGAAAAACAAAAATGTGTGCACAATGAGAGACGGGTTGCCTTGGGTAGGGGAAAAGTTATATATACCAACAACCAAAGAGTCACTTTCATGCAGCTTTGCCATGACACAAAATCAGCAGGGCATTTTGGATTTGTAAAAACTTTACACTTAATTAAACGGCAATTTTGGTGGCCATCAATAAAAAAGGGCATAGAAAGTTATGTTGCCAGCTGCCCAACCTGTGCATCGGCAAAGAGGTTGCAAGGGAAGTCGCCAGGGCTATTACAACCAGTGGCAAGTCCCTCAGCCCCCTGGAGGGAAATAGCCATGGATTTTATAGTGGAATTGCCAGAAAGCAATGGGAATACTGTTATCTGGACAGTCACAGACCTATTTTCCAAACAGGTGCACTTTATCCCTTGCCAAAAGATTCCCACTGCAAAGGCCTTAGCAAAACTTTTCATCCAACACATTTACAGATTGCATGGGGCACCCCAACGCATCATCTCTGATAGGGGAGTGCAATTTACGTCTGCATTTTGGAAGGAATTTTTATCCCTCTTAGGGACCACTCAGGGACTGACATCTAGCCATCATCCACAAGGGGATGGACAAACGGAACGGTGCCATTCGGTACTTGAGCAATATTTGAGATGTTTTTTAAATTTCCAACAGAGTGATTGGACGGACTTACTTCCTTTTGCAGAAGTTGCCTACAATAATGCAGTCCACTCCAGCACAGGCTACACTCCTTTTCAAATAGCCAACGGTCAAAGTTTCAACCCTATGCCAGAGTTAACCCCAAACGAACCAACGATCCCTTCACTGAAAGAATGGATGGAAAAACTACAAAACACCTGGCCAATAGTTAGAAAAGCACTAGATGAAGCTAGGCAGGCATACAAAGCACAAGCCGATAAAAAAAGGATTGAGCCTACACCATTCATTATAGGAGAAATGGTGTACTTATCTACAAAATACCTAAAGTCCCTACAGCCCTGTAAAAAACTTGGACCAAAATATATAGGACCTTTTCCAATTAAAAGAATCATAAATCCAGTAACAGTAGAATTAGAATTACCCAAAAATCTCAGGCAAATACACCCAATTTTTCATTGCAGCTTGCTGAAAAGAGAGCATCAGTCACCTCTACGGCCAAAAATCCCCCCACCACCACCTCCAATCATGGTGGAGGGTGAACAACACTTCGAAATAAAGGAAGTCCTTGACTCTAGGAGATATCATGGAGCAACTCAGTACCTAGTTGTCTGGAAACACCTCTCTGCCTCACAAAACGAGTGGGTCCATAAATGTCATGTCAGAGCCCCAAAGCTATTGAAGAAGTTTCACACAGAGTATCCCAACAAGCCTAACTAACTTTTATACCTGTTTTGTTTTCTGCAGGTGGATCTCTCTTATTGTTAAGAGGGGCCGGATGTCGATTGGCTGGGAATTCTGGGAGTTTGTCAGGGAATGGTGCAGCCAGGTGTCCAAATGAAGTCAGAGACACTGACACAAACTTGTAGTTTTATATAAATAAATATATTTAACATCTACATTCATGGGAGACAAGATAGTCAGGAACCCAGGAACATCGTGAGGTAAATCTTAACAGTATGCAGAGCTCTCAGAAGAAAAAAAGGTGGGAAAAAAGGGAAACTCCCCCTTTACACCCACAGCAACCAATCACAGCCTCACATACCTGGAAGGGGCTGTAGTGACTGCTGGGGCTTGGAATGTGAGGAAGGGGAAGCTGCGCTAATGGTTAGAGTAGTCTTTCTCCTCCTTGGATACGTAAAGACGTGTGGACTGCAACTCCCAGAATTCCCCAGCTGGCACAGCTGCCTGGGGAATTCTGGGAGTTGAAGTCCACAGTCTTAAAGTAGCCAAGGTTGGACACCTCCACTTTTGACCTTGCGCTACCAGTTGCCTGGGGAATTCTGGGAGTTGAGGTCCACCTGTCTTAAAGTGGCTCAGCTTGATAAGCACAGGGCTAGGTTCACTTCACAATCAGAATGATTTGCTGAACAACCGTCGCAAAAGTGGTTGTTAGAGTGGGCACATTTAACTTGGCGCTTTGCTTAGCGACAGAGATTCTCATCTCGGTTGTGGTCGTAAACCAAGGACTTCCTCTAAATTTAAACAGTGGCCAAAGGAATGATTGCTCTCTGATTGGCTCTTGCCCAGTCTGGGGTTTGCCCCCGCCCCCCTGGAGCCCTCCAAAGCTGGGGAGCCCCCCACCGACCCCAGACCCCTTGTGAAGGTTGAGCCAAGGGGGGCCAGCTCCACTTTCCCAAAGCGAGCTGGGCACACAGCCCTTCCTCCCGCTGGGGGTCACCCGGATCTCCACACCGTAACCGGGATAGACGGAGATGGTGTACGCGCACTCCAGCCAGCCCTTCTCGTAGGGGGTGTTGCTGGGCAGTGGAGATGCCAGGGCGCCCCGAGGTCCGGTCAGGTTCCAGCAGCAGGGCCCTTGGGGGGGGGGTCAAGAGGGTGGGAGGGAGGAAGAGGCTTGACTCCCTCTTCTTTGGGGCAGCCCCTGAGATACTGAGATACTGGAAGGCTGCTATCCTGTCCCCCCTCATCCTTCTCTTCATTAAACTGGACATTCCCAATTCCAGCAGCCGTTCCTTGTATGTTTTAGCCTCCAGTCCCCTGATCCTCTTTGTTGCTCTTCTCTGTACTCTTTCTATTTGCCAATTTGGGGTGCCCAACCTTGACAACCTTAAGATATGGACTCCAATTCCCAGAATTCCCCAGCCAGCCAAGCTCAGAGAGCACCAGGTACCTCTCTTCGTCTCCTCCTCTTCCTTCTCCTCTGCTATGCAAACCTCACTCCGTTCTAGCACTGATGATGTTACCTAGTTGGGTTATGAAAATCTGGAAGAAAACCACCCAGCTCAGAGAACACAAAGGACCCCGCAGTCCTCCTCCTCCTCTTCCTCTTCCTCCTCCTCCTCCTCCTTTCCATAAATTATCCCTCCCCTTCTAGAACTGATGATGTTCTCTAGTTGGGTCATGAGACGTCTGCAAGGAAACAACCCAGCTCAGAGAGCACAAGGACCCCGCAGTCCTGGTCCTCCTCCTTTTCCTTTTCCTCCTCTTCTTCCTCCTCCTCCTCTTCCTCCTCCTCCTCCTCCTCTCCACAAAACCCACTCCCTTCTAGCACTGATGGTATTACCTAGTTGGGTCATGAAATGTCTGCAAGAAAACTACTCAGCTCAGAGAGCAACAAGGACCCCGCAGGTCGTCTCCTCCTCCTGCTCCTCCTCCTCCTCCTGCTGCTCCTCCTCCTTGCAAATCCTCCTCCCTTCTAGCCCCGATAGAGAAAAGAGAGACCAGCCACTTGATGGAGTTTGTTTCTTTATTTAAAAGATTCTTACGGGCAACCCTGGGCAACCCACCAAAACAAACTCCATAATTCTTTCCAGTTTTTTAAATTCTCAGAAATCCGACCCTGGGTAGTGTTGAGATTCCCTGCAGTTCAATCCCCCGGTCTAATCAAATGCCCGCCTTTGGTTACCCCAAACTCCGTCTCTGTCCCTTCCCGACTTAAGGGGTCAGTCCCAGCAGACTCTCGCTGAATTCCCAGAGCTTCCTGGCCATGTGGTCATCACGGGCCTGTGGCCAGGGCACTTTTGGCCGGCAGTCCACGAAATACCGCCCGCTCAGCCTCTCGATGCCCTCCTCGGTCGCACAGTAGATGGTGGTCTGGGCACCAGCGTCGCAGTCTCGGAGGAGCAACTGTATCAGCCAAAGGAACCAAAATACCCACCGTGGAAAGTAGCGAAAAATTTTGGTTCTAACTATCCCTGAAAGCAAAAGAGAGAGTTGGTCGTATGAATGTCCTGGGAAGGAAGGAAGCACCTTCTGGGGTGACCCAGATGGAGGGAGGAGGGTGAGGGTGAGGAGAGGGAAGACGATGGGAGGAGGAAGAGGAGGAGGAGGAGGGGAGGAGGGGGGAAGGAGGAGGAGGAAGAGGAGGAGGGGAGGAGGGGGAAGGAGGAGGAGGGGGGAAGGAGGAGGAGTCCAACCCCCTGCTCAGGCAGGAAACCCTACACCATTTCAGACCAATGGCTGTCCAGTCTCTTCTTAAAAACTTCCAGTGTTGGAGCATTCACCGCTTCTGGAGGCAGGTTGTTCCACTGGTTAATTGTTCTCACTGTCAGGAAGTTTCTCCTTAGTTCCAGGTTGCTTCTCTCCTTGATGAGTTTCCATCCGTTGCTTCTTGTCCTGCCTTCAGGGGCTTTGGAGAAGAGCTTGACTCCCTCTTCTTTGGGGCAGCCCCTGAGATAGTGGAATACTGCTATCCTGTCCCCCCTTGTCCTTCCTTCATTAAACTAGACATACCCAATTCTAGCAACCGTTCCTTATATATAAGGGGAAACGACCATATTTGGTGCAGTGCAAAGGCTACCCCTTATCAGAGGCTACTGGGGTGAAATGTACTGATGTAAAAGCTGATAGACTTATTTGTAAATTGTATGACAAACATCTGAACAAACCTGGGCTTTTGTTTGATTTGCAGGACTCTCCTTTCTGTTAAGGGGGGGCGGAGGTCAACATTGGGACAATTAAGAAACTGCAACTCTTTTACCTTTTGCTTTTACTGTGCTTTTTCTGCTATTTGAGATATTGAGATGTAGAAAGGGGGGGGGATGCTCGAATGTTTTCAATTAGCCATGATAATTTCAGCTGTGTGTGAACTCAAGGTCAATGTTAGATAAAGTTTTTGGGGGGTTGAGAAGTTGGGAGGAGAGCCTGCGGTTTAGAATAATTGGTGAATGTGATTTATGACAGCCTTTCTGGGGTGGGAATTACAAATGTGTTACTTTGTATCTGGGGGAGGGAACTTCAGTCTTGGGTTCAACTGTGTAAGTGCCCATACTCTGTTTCCTGAATAAAATGTTTTTTAAGGAGGAAATCTTTGCCTTGAAGTTCTTTTAATTGGTTTCATCTTTCGGAACCATGACACAGACATTTCGTGACTCAACTGGGGAACGTCATCAGTGCTAGAAGGGAGGGGGGTTTGCAGAGAGGAGGAAGAGGAGGAGAATGAGGTGGATGGGGAAGAAGAGGAGAGGAAGGAGGAGGAGGAGGAAGAGCAGGAGGAAAGGTAAATGGAAGCAAAGGGGGAGAAGGAACAAGAGGGGGAGGGCGGCAGACGAACAGGAATTGAATGGCAGGAGGAGGAGGAGGAGGAGGAAGAGCGAAGGACGAGGAGGAAGAGGGAGGGAGGAGGGGGAGGAAGACAAAGGAAGGTGAAGAGGAGGTGGAAGAGGAGATAAAAAGCCTCATCCTTGCTTAGGCAGTGGGTTGGTCTAGAAGACCTCCAAGAGCCCATCCCACTCTAAGATTTTGGGATTCTGTTAGCTCTGGGACCAGGCAGGGTGGGAAACGTCTTCCTCCGCAGCTCAGCCCAATGGAGGAAACTCCCGGGGTGGCTCTGCAGAGGGGGTCCAGGGAGCCCCCAGTGGGAGATAAAAGCCTGGCAGAGCCCCAGCAGGACCTGGGGGGTGTCTCCATCTGGGGCTTCTTGGAGCCAGACTTCCACTCACCTGGATGAACCGCGTAGCAGGTGACGTTGGTTCCTTCCAGCCGGTTGACCAACTTTCGCGTGTGGAGAATGTTGGCTAGTTTGCTGTTGCAGTATGATAGTCCACCCTTCTTCATCCCCTCCACCGGTTTGTGGATGGTCCGGAAGTCGATCTTCCCAAAGAAGTGCCCACTTGAGGATACGATTACAACCCGGCTCGGGGCGCAGCGCTTTAGCCGGTCCAGGAGCAGGTGGGTCAGCAGGAAGTGAGCCAGGTGGTTGACCTGGAAACCCAGGTCAAAGCCATCAGTGGTTTGACCGTCCTTACAGACCCCTGCCAAAAAAAGTAAGCGGATTCCAGATAGTCTTCAGTTTACAACGGGTCACCGTGATCATTCAAAGTTACAACAGATGTCCAAAGTGTACTTGCAACCCAGTTCCAAATTTGCAATGTTTCCCCTCCCCCCAGTGTTACATGATCACATTTTAGGCACTTGGGAACTGGTCTTCACCTTACAACCTGGTCCACCGTCATGTGGTGGAGGATTTATGACATTTTTTACGACCCACTTTATAACTGTTACACCTTACAACCATAATGGGCAGGCTCCATAATGGTCATAAGTTGTGGAGTACCTCTAAAGCATCCAGTTTTGTTTAGTGGTTAAGCCTAGAAAGCAGGAAGCTATGAATTCAAATCCTGCCGTAGGCATGAAAGCCAGCTGTGAGACTTTGGGCCAATCACCAGGAGTCTGAGGGTTCTAGTCCCACCTTAGCCATGAAAGCAAAGTGGGTGACTTTGGGCCAGTCATTCTCTCTCAGCCCAACCCACCTCACAGGGTTGTTGTTTTGAGGAAAATAGGAGGAGGAAGGCGTGTTTGATCTGTTCGCCACGTCAAGTTGCTTGTAAAAATAATAATAAAGGTGGGATACCAAAAATCAGAGCTGCTTCTGAAGTTGTGGCCAAACCCCTGAAGGAAGAGAAATCCTGGAGACCCCCACAATATTCTCACTTCCTCGCCCTGATGCCCCGGGGGGGGGGTCTGCTCTGCACCCACCGGCATTGTTGATGAGGATGTCCAGACGGGGCTCCGATTTTAGGAAGATCTGTGCAAAAGCTTGCACGGAGTTGAGGTTGGCCAGATCCAGGATCATCAGGATCACCTCCGAGTTCCCACTTTCCTGGAAAAGGAGCAGAAGGAATCCTGAGAAGAATCGGGATCGGGTGTGGCTTCAAAGGCTGATCCTGGTTTACTCACCTTCTATGTATGTCTGCTCACCTCCTGACAATCACTCCGGGTGGTGTGTCATAAAACAATACAGGCAGTCCTCGACTTGCAACCATTTGAAATTGCAATACTGCTGAAAAGAGTGATTTACGACCTATGCTCATGCTTTCGACTATCCCAGCATCCCCAGGGTCATGTGATCAGAATTCGTGTGCTTGGCAACCAGTGTAATTTCCAATAGTGGCAGTGTCCCTGGGTCATGTGATCACTATTTGTGATCATCCCAAGAGGATTCCCACAAGCAAAATCAGCGGGAATCCTGTATTCACAAAACAAGTGCAGTGATTTGCTTAATTAAGGGGCTGCCCCAAAGAAGAGGAGGGGGTCAAGCTATTCTCCAAAGGGTCTGAAGGCTGGACAAGAAGCAGCTGATGGAAACTAATCAAGGAGAGAAGCAACCTGGAACTAAGGAGAAACTTCCTGACTGTGAGAACAATTAACCAGTGGAACAGCTGGCCACCAGAAGTTGTGAAATGGCTCGGGTTCTCCTGCTTGGGCAGGGGTTGGACTAAAAGAACTCCAAGGTCCCTTCCAGGTCTGTTTTTCTGTAATAACATACCACAGTCTTATGATCTAGAACAGTGGTTCTCAACTGTGGGTCGGGACCCCATTTGGGATCTAACGACCATTTCACGGGGGTCACCAAACAACGCAGTCTGCCATTTTTTTCCCCTTTTCCTTAGCTGTGCTCCTCCCTTTTATTCTATTGGCTTTTGAAAGCCAATAGAATAGACTCTCTTGAATAGAGTCTAATTCTATTGGCTTTCAAAAGCCAGTAGGAATTGTCCAAGCTGTCTCTGCCCTGCTGAGCCCGCCAAAAGTCCCATTCTGCAAATGGTGCTGCACCAGTTGAGTAGTCCTCGACTTACGACCGGTTGAGTAGTCCTCGACTTACGACCAGTTGAGTAGTCCTCGACATACGACCAGTTGGGGGGTCACGGCATTAAAAAGGTTGAGAACCACTGGTCTGGAATGAAGAAGGGAAGTTAAAATGGAGGAGTTTTAATAACCAGAACCAAATGGATCACATAGATCCAACAAAGCCACTTCCAGGAATGCAGCTGCCCCCCTAAATATGGAGCCCCTGGATAGAACCCGGACAGGACAGGCCAGAATTGAAGACAAAGCTCTTCAAGTGGGGAATGGCCGGGGTCTGCAGGGTGACGAGGGGGGGCATCAGAAGTGTTGGGATCTCAAATTCAGTGTAGCTGATTGGCTGGAGAGTGCTGGCTCCTGCACGTGGCAATATATGCTCTGATAATAGTAGTAGTAGTAGTAGTAATAATAATAATAATAATAATAATAATAATAATAATAATAATAATAATAATAATAAACCCCCAGTGAGACACTATCTTGACGTGCTTGTGGGGCTTGTGTACTCTGAGGAAGATGAGAGCTATGCCAGAGGTTCAACCATACTGGACAGGTCTCATCAGAGGAGTCAGACAAAGAGTGTCTCTCCCATACAAAATATGGTGAGACATAAATTGCAGAATGCCATACCAGCTCGGATGTCGCCCGGGTTAACAAGGTCCGCGCTAGATATTGGAGTTCCTGGATATCTGGTGAAAAATGGGTTACAGGACTCAGGACTGTTGGCTGAGCAACCAGGGCCAGCAGCTGCAGAACTACTGGAAGAAAAGGTGTTTACCCTTCGCAGATACACAGTGATGGAAAACAAAGAAATAATGATCTGTTACTACAGATCAAGTCCAACAAGACGAGGATATCTAAAACGAATGCACGAATTCTGGAAAGAACAACATCCAGAATCAGAAATAACAGAACAGAGACTAGCAGATCAACGCCGATTTATAACACGAAATAAAGTATTCAGAGAAACAGAATTGGACGAACTGCAAAGGTTTACCCAGGGCAAAGAAATCAAAGCCTTACCAGAAGTAATTCAGAATGTAGAGGCAAACCAGGGGGAGTTGGCAGTGAAGGAATCTAGCAGAGATATACAACTGTTCTTCATTTGGAAACAGGCACCTCTATGCCTCAGAAAGAACCAAAACCTTCTAACTAAAGAAATAAAGAATTGAAACAAAGAATAAACTGAGCATCTAGAACAGCAAAAAACAACAGAATAAGGCTACCTGCATTGAAGCTTGTTCCAACGAAACAGCTACACAGCATTAAAAGATGCAATATTGCAATATCAGTATAGCACCATTCACGTGCAGAAACAAACCAACCTAATGTAGCACACAGCTGCAGTTGAACAGAATACCGGGGTTCAAAATCAACAAAGAAGCAAAACAAACAAACAGTGCACCAGAAAAATGGAGGTAGACTAGAAAATAAAGATCACAAGTTAAGATCACATGCAAGCAAGCTAGAACGGATGAAGGAAAAGAAGCTTAAGAACAAGAAGACCAAAGAATACCTAATCAAGAAATACCACTTAGAAACAATGAAGATCAAGGAAGCACTTGAAATAATAAAGCAACAAATAACAGCTATAGCCAGGAAAATCAGTAGATATGAAGCTCGAATTGCAAACTATAGGCAGAACCTCCAATTTCAATCCAATCAGAAACGTTTCTACCAATCAATCAATGGAGAAACTGCAAGGAATCAGTCAATACCTGACAAGGAAGAAACAGTGCAGTTCTGGAAGCAGATATGGGATAACCCAAAGAAATACAACAAGGATGCGGCTTGGTTAAAAGAGGTGGATGCAAATAAAACAGAAGTTGAAATGAAAGAACTAGTAATAACAACAAAAATGGTAGAAAAAAGATCAAAGAAAATCAAAAATTGGTCAGCACCAGGTGAAGATGAATTGCATGGGTTTTGGTTGAAACATCTAACTGTTATACACCCACTCATTGCCAAACAGTTCAACAATATACTACAAGGAGGAGAAATTGAAAAGTGGCTAACAACTGGGAAAACCTACCTAATAATGAAAAATCCAGCAAAAGGGGCAACACCAGGTAACTACAGGCCAATTACCTGCTTACCAACAACTGTCAAATTACTAACTGGTGTGGTAGCTGATGCAGTACAACAGCATCTAGTTGAAAACAATCTCTTTCCACCTGAGCAGAAAGGAAACCGCCCCAATAGCAGAGGAACAAAAGATCAACTCCTAATAGACAAAATGATCTTGGAAAACTGCAAGAGAAGGAAGACCAACCTGAATGTGGCATGGATTGACTACAAAAAGGCATTTGACTCTCTGCCACATGCTTGGATAATAAAGTGCCTAGAAATAACAGGAGTCAGTAGAAACATCAGAAAATTTGTGCAAAGATCGATGGCACAATGGAAAACACAGTTGCAGATCAATGGTGAGAGGCTGGGAGAGGTTAATATCAAGAGAGGAATATTTCAAGGAGATTCATTATCACCATTACTATTTGTTATTGCACTGTTTCCTCTGTCAACAATACTGAATAACTCATGACATGGCTATCAAACATCAAAAACATCTGCCAGACTATCCCACCTCCTTTATATGGATGATCTGAAGCTGTATGGAAAAACATTATCTGAATTAGAATCGCTGCTCAACACTGTCCGTATATATAGCCAAGATATTGTAATGGAGTTTGGCTTGGACAAATGTGCCATACTTACTATCAAACAAGGAAAAATAGTGAAAACTGAAGGAATCAAGATGCCCCACGAAAATAACATTAAGAGTCTGGACGAGGAAGAATACTACAAATACTTGGGTATCCTTCAAGCTGACAACATCAAGCACACTGAAGTCAAGAAAAGATTAGAGGTGAATACATCAAGAGAGTGAAGAAGATCTTAAAATCCAAACTCAATGGAGGAAATACCATAAAGGCAATCAACACCTGGGCAATCCCAGTCATTAGGTACACAGCTGGAATAGTGGACTGGACTCAAGCAGAACTAAAAGCAATGGATAGTCAGACCAGAAAAATAATGACAATGAATCACGCCCTTCATCCACGCAGTGACATTGACAGACTTTATCTACCAAGGCAAATAGGTGGGCGTGGAATGCTACAAGTACATCAGATGGTTGAAGAAGAAAAAATGGCCTTGGAAGAATATCTGAAGAACAATGATGAAGATGCACTGAAATTAGTATATCAGGAAGGCTTACTGACTACTGGAGAGACCAAACTGGCCTACAAGAAAGACCAAATGAAGAACAGAATAGAGGTATGGGAAGACAAAGCACTACATGGCCAATACATTAAAAAAATAGCTGGTAAAGCAGATAATAACAAGACCTGGCAATGGCTAAGAG